TTTTTTAGATATATGCAATTTTTCATGAAATTGGATAAAATATGCAAAAAATGCATAGATATGCACTTTGCATATTTTCCGCCCTCTAGTAATCAGTTATCAGGATGAATATAGAAGATAGGATGCACATAATGTAACTAAAAATAAACGAGTGGGTATTGCAGTTGTTGCTAAGTATTCCTACAACATCTGTTAATGTAAATTTTCATACAAAACTATGAAACGATTTTTTAGTATAATGGTATTTCGAAGTAGACAAAAATGCATTAATCAGTCCTTGCATAACTACATAAGGAACAGGAACAGTCATATTCGGTCATAATTTATGCCTGAGTCAGCAGGTTCGCACCCAAATTATTGGGAACTAGGAACAAGTGACGTGGATATAGGTGGTAGATAGTGGATAACATAGAGCCTTAGAGCCCTTTTACACGAGGATACAGTTACCCGGCAACTATTGCTTTGGATACCCGTTTAACATAGAGCATTATGGAAACATAGACACAGGGATACTTCTCACAACCAGTTTCGGCAACTAAATTTCGGTCTGCCGTGAATTCCAGTCGCCGGCAATTTTACGACTTCCGGGGTCCGATTTTCTATGGGTCTTTATGGCCATGTGGCTTTATTCATCTCTCTAGTAGGGATGGTCGGTATTTAAGGTAACGGCTGAAATAACAGTGTTCCAAACGCGTAACCTGAACTGTAGTTACAGCTAGTCGATTTAACCGGTTGTTTTTGACTCATAAATCCGAAAAAGTGGTTTGCACCAACACAGAACCGATGCGGCACCGTCAAGTAATCTATCCAGTCGCAGCAGTTTCAGTAACCGTTTCTCAACGGAAAACATGTTTTGTTTGTGTTTATCACTTTTCGTTTATAAGAATTACTGTTCAGTTCTCCAGGACCCATAATCGTTCAGATCAGCGAACAATTTTTTAGTTGCAGCGATGAAGATATTTCAGAATTTTTAGTCTATAAGTATCCAGTTTTCTGACGTTTTGCAATAAATATAAAAAAAAAGAATTTCTCTCAAAAAACTTAGCTCGGGAGTCATATGCCCATTACCAGCAAACTAAACAGAATGTACACTTGCATATGAGTTATGAGCAAACTAAGAGTCTTAGACATAAATTCCACACAGTTGAAATGTAAAATTACAAACGTTTTAAGCAGAATGTGCACCTGCATTTAAGCAAGTTGGCCATTTTTAAATATAAACTCAGTCAGAGATGAAATGAAAGTTATTTGAATAGTAATAAACGTTGTAAGGTCGACATATTTTTTTAAATTATTTTTTGGTGGTACCAAAATTAACTCGGCATTTCTATACTTTGATATTGTGGATTATTTAATGTTATTGTGAAACAAAATGAGAGAGATTATTTTCTAAAGCGGGTGCTATCATAAACAAGCGAAGAACTAGACTCAGTGAAAAGCAACTGCGAAAATCTTAATTCTTAAGTCCCCATACTTACGTGAGACGTCCATGGGACATACTTTTGGGACTGTTCGGGTCATGTATGGGATGATCCTGTAAAGGTCACCCGGGACATCACTGGGATTATAGACAGGTTGTTTCGAGGGCATCTGTGAAACGTTCTTAGGTTAATAGTCAACCATCAAATTACTGCCAGGTTTTCTTTCTAGAAATAATGTTTCTAACTTTTGCAACTTTGGAAAAACGTTGAAGGTTATAATTTGGAAAATTTAGGGTGGAAGCATTTAACAGAAACAAAATACTGAACCAATAACCTATACCAACAAAATACGTTTACGTATTACAAACTAAACTTATTTTTGCTATGAATCGAAATTTGCTGTTCTATCCGAAACCGAACTGTGATATTAAAGTGTTTAATTGCTATTTTTGTCCCTTTTGAGTCTTTCCAAAGGCTTCAATTTCAATATCTTTCCTGGTTACTATAAAAAACTGATTTTTTTACCAAGCCTGTAATAAAAAAAATATATTTTATCACTTTTAAATCCAACTAAAACCAATTTTCCCAATAAGTGCCTTGCAAATCAAAAGTTCTTGAAAACTTTTTTCCTTTTTTTGCGTTTGAAACTATATAAGACGGTGACTTCATTTGTTATAATTTGGCAGAGTGCTCTGCCCAGCGCCTCACCTTTGTGGCTCCCACCAATTAATTGTATGAAGTTAAGCTGCAACATAATATTAATAAAAAATATCGTGCRATAAAACTTTACGATGCACGGAACGATGCCCCCATCTGTGTTGCTTCTCTGAAAACTAAAATATAAAATATAGAAGACTGTGTATCCCCGTCTCTACTACGCGCTGGTGTCAGCAAGGAATGTACTTCTATTTCATCAGTACATACAGAAAACTTCTTTACCGGTTGTGTTAACGCAAAAGTTTACCGCAAAATTGGACCGTATGCTTTTAACACAGCTTTTTAACTTTCCATGTGGAAGATGCAAATGCTCAACGATCGACGAATTTTCAGTTATGAAATGTATGGGAAAATATTAAAATGTGCGCTTCAATAGTTCCCGATATTCCTACAATAATTAAGAGGTGTGGTGTTTAACAAGCGTCATAGAGGTCGCAAGTAGTACTAAAGCAGCTTAAAGGTAGGTGTGATGCTGATGAAGGAGTTTAAATTATTTCATCGTCCATCCATCTAGGAGCGTGTTAGCTTTTAAAGTATAAAGTCTGTCTTTAGATCAAAGATGGCACTAGTAGAAAATCCACAGCTTTTGAATAAGCTTGTAATAACAACTACAATCTACTAATCTCTGGTAATCAGGGTTGCCAGGTCCGAAAATCGAGTTTTGGTAGATAAGCTCGACATTTTTCGGTAGAAAATTGGTAGACTCATTTTTCTCTCATTATTAAGGGCTCCATCTGGTGAGGTTTTGGAAATGCTCTGTTACGCACACCTAGAGCTGGTTGGGTGGTCCAAAACCTCATCAAAAAAAAAGGATCAATAAAATCGCACGTTTTTCAAAACTTGAATTTTTAAACTTACA